GGTTTTCATTTAAATGTGTATTTTTTTTTGCAGTTGTTATTAAATTTTGTCTTTGGATTTCTAATTTAAAACAGAAGAAAACTTTTCATCCAATTTCAAGCATTATTTTAAGAAATTATCTCCATTATTTTAAGAAATTATCTCTTAGACACATATTTCAGACAATATCAAATATGATAAAGAAGTTTTATTTATAGGTAACTCACAAGGTTTGACTGCCATTGCTTTCTGCATTCACAGGTCAGTGAGTATAATGTGTTCAATATTTTGTGGCTGTTTTCCGGTATTAAACATGTCAACATTTTCCATCGGAGTCATAAAAGTTTGTGAGATGCTTCTGATGAATAGCAAGAAGGCCAGAAAAAGGAATACTGCATAACATGAATTCCTCAGGAAATCAATTAATATTTTTATGAGCAGTAGTGAAAATACGATCCAGGCTTAGCAGAGTGAGGTCGGACTGGTATTTGATCCCAAAATATATTCTTTGTTGAGTTCTATCAATGTAAAAATATTCTGTGTTGAGTCAAAACTAAAATCTCAGTGCTCCCAAGTATAAGACATTTTATATACCTTCACGTGCAAGACTCTTCACTTGGCCATGCGTGTAACCTTTGATAGGGAATATAAACTCTGTAAAGTTTGCAGTACTTTCAGGTTCCTAATCAACCTTTTGTGGATCTCGAAACATAGTATAATTTTGGTGTTCTGAATAGTGTACTATGTGTGCTGTTAAAATACTGTGTATTGTATAAGTATAAAAAGGTGCTTAAATATTTTTGAAGAGGTCTTTGTTGAGGCAAGGTAAGCAACTCTAATATGGGGGTAAATGGTGATTAAAACTGGAAAATAAAAATGATAGTTTATTAAAAATGATAGTATATTACTCCTACATTGTTTAGACTAACTCACTTATTTATTCTATCCTATTCATTCATTCATTCATTCAATGAACGTTGAACTCCAAATACATGATTTACTGAGGAGGGGAATGTAAAGACTTGGGACAAGAAAAGAAAGACTTGAAACCAGAATGGTTCAACTTGAATCCTGGGAAGTAGTACTTTCAAATAATTCTTTGTAATGGTAATAAATTGCTGTATCCATCACATGTCTATCAGGTCTTTCCTAGATGGACTGACATTATCATTTAAATGGAAATCCTTGCCTTCCTGTTAGCTAATATACATTGCTCTTCAGCTGACAGATAAGCTAGAGATACAGTAAAGCACAGTGTCAGGGAATCTGATTTTCCAGTGGACATTCCTACATGTTTGAACAAGAAGGTTATAAATACTAACTGTAGTACCTATTGAAGCCCAAGTTATTCAAAACATGGAAGTCTGTTTCTTGAGATAGAAACTATATCCAAGAGCAACCACAGACGTATGGAGGGCCATCCAGGCACACAGTGGTGGGTGGAATGACTAGAAGATTAGAACCATCGCAGCCTGCAGCCCAAGACATAGGTGTTCAGCTCTGAACATGTGTGGCAATGGGCATCTCACAAGATATCCTAAGGTTTAATTTTTAAATCCCACGAATGACAGAAAATTTGGTTTTCAACCTTTTTACACTTAAGATCCTTTCTGTAACAGTAAACATCTCTTGCACACCCACATAGTAAGAGTTGTGCTCTTTGTATCTGCAAATAGTTGAGGATAAAATTAAGCACAGGTGTCTTACAATAATCCCATGAACCACACCCTGAGAACCACTACAGCTGATGTCTAGGGCATCACATCTTCCACATCTAAGACTCTACAATTCTTCAGTAGCTTTGCTACCAATGACTTTTCCTTGAACACTGTCTAGGATGAGGCACTCAGTACTTCCTGGGGCAACCCATTTTGTTCTTGGTTGCCCACAGTGTAGAGCAAAGAGTGAGAAGAGATTCATCTCCTTCTGGCTTCTATGTATTGGGCCATGTTCTACCTCAGAAGTAACGTAATCTAACCACAATTTCTTTCACACAACAGCTTTCCATTACCATCTTCAAGTCCAGAGGAGACTGGCAGCTTACAAAGATGTACAAACCGCAGCAAAACAGCACACATTAGGAGAAAGGGAAGAGAAAGAAGGAAGAAGTAAAGCCCGGAAATGAGCTTCCAAGGACGTTGTTAATTGACCAACTGATAGGGTTTTCCTCTGGAAGCTGACTGCTAGAAAATATTGAGCAACATTTCTACATTATCTCATTTCGTATTCACAATAACCTTATACATGATTACTTTTATATACCCTACTTTAAAGATGAGGAAATCGAGAAAAATTAAGGCCACACCAGTAGTTTGTGGAGTCAGGATTTGAACTTAAGACATCCAATCCAACCTCCTTTTAAATCATTATGGAATTCCTTCAGCATTTAAGGTGGGTTAACATCCTTTTGTGAAAGTTTGGGATTCGAATAAAAAGGGCAATGATGAGGTCTATTGATCTCTGCTGAGCAGCTAAAGCAGTGGGAATTGACATTGGCTTGTAAAAGAGTGTGAAGACCTGGACAGAAGAAGACAGGGAGGGAAGGGAAAGTGTAAAGTGTATCCTTTAGAAAATCATTTCTCTTAGAGCTCTTTTTTAATTTCTTCAAATTGCAAACTGTGGTGGTTTAAAACATGCCCATAGATTCTTTGATGCTCTTTCAAGATGGAGCCAAATTCCCCTCCCTTCCCTTTAAGAGTAAGCTGGATCTAGAACCTCACTCCGAATGAGCAGGATAAAGTGGGAGGGATGGTGCGCAACTTTGGGGATAGGTCCTGCAAGGCACTGCGGCTTCCTCTTTGCTTTCTCTTTTGGGTCACTTGCTCTGGGGCAAGTTAGCTGCCACTGTGGGGACAAATGGCCTACGCAGAGGGCCGTGTGGTGAAGAACAGTAGCCAGTAAGGAACTGAGGTCTTTTTTGCCAGCAGTCACGTGAAGGAGCCACTTTGGAAGTGAATCCTGCAGCCCTGGTGAAGCCTTCAGGTAACTGTTACCCAGCTTGATGCAACCTCCTGAGGGACCCTGGGCCAGAGCTACCCAGCTAAGCCACTCATATGTGATTCCTGACCCTCAGAAACTCTGTGAGATGGTAAATGTTTATTATGTTAAATTGTTAAAATTTGGGGTTATTTGTTATGCAGTGATAGATAATGAATACATGAAACAACAAACACACCTCCCAAAACAAAACAGAACAGATCAAAATAAAATAGAAACTCATTACCTAGAATTGCCAAAGGACGGAGAAACATTCTGAACGTATCTATTCTCCTTTAGGTAAACTTTTCCCCCCAACTTTCTTAACACAAAGATATCAAAACATTTCAATTCACTTCTAAAGTAATTTCTCACGATTTGGAGCTTAAATATGTATGTTATTTACTTACAAGCGAAGGGAAGGTAAAGACATTCAAAACTTAAAATTACATGAAACCTTCTTAAAGCAAGGTGAACAACTGAATGCAGAATATGGGCCAAAGAAATTCTGCACCTCGTAACAAAAGTTAAGATCTTAAAATCTAGCTTTAGAGACTGGAACAGCAGTCAACAATTAGGAAGCAGAAGCACACAATTTAGACATAAGTTAAAAACAATTACTCAAAAACTCATTTTAGAAGAAAACATTTGCTAGCATTCTGATCCCAGAATTTGGCAGCCTGTTCAGGCTATACACAATTCTGGCAGATTATACAGTAAATGGTGACCACTAACGCTGAAGAGTATGGTTTGATTTCCATAATTTCTAAGGATAGCAAACATTACTTGAGTTTTCACTCCAAGAACTATCCAGCTAAGCCACTCATATGTGATTCTTGACCCTCAGAAACTCTGTGAGATGGTAAATGTTTATTATGTTAAATTGTTAAAATTTGGGGTTATTTGTTATGCAGCGATAGATGATGAATACACGAAACAACAAACACACCTCCCAAAGCAACAAAACAGAACAAATCAAAATAAAATAAAAATTCAGTAACAATCACGATTATTAATCCAGCGGCATTTCTTTCCATTTAGGCATCATGCTATCTCATTATTTTCCAACTTCTACTTGCTCTGCTCCTTCTCTCCCCCAGGGTTTTGCAAGCCCCAACGCAGGACAGATAGGAAGGCCGACTTAGGGGAACAGATGCCAACCTGTGTTTTACGGCACCAAGCGAAAACCGGGCCTGGGTGACACGCCTCTGCTATCTGCGCCCCTTCTTGCACAAAGCTTCTCATAAAGTTGCAATTTTAAAAGAAATGTTTCCCATCAAAATTCAATAGCCTTTTATGAGCACATACGCTTTTTCTTCCTTTTCCAGCCTGCATGAAATTTAATATCAGGATTATTATCCATTTGTCATTTTAACCTATAATCTAGTAAGCCTTTTTGTGTTTGAGTTATGCTTCCTTCCCCCCTTACCGCCAGCTTGCAGCCATAGATTCATTCCAGAAGCCGTCTAGGTCACATGGTTTGACCTCTCAGAACAAACACTTTCCATGCTTCTTATTCTGCTTCCCTAAGAGGCACCATTAGTTTTGCTCATCTCTATTTAAAATGATTTTTACAACATAATAACGTTTCAAGTTTTCCATATTAATCTTCATTTTATTTCTCGAAATACTTAGGCAAACAATGTCACTAAGACATCACTGATGGGAAATTCTCTTTCTCCTTTGCTCCTGTCTACTTAAAGGCAATTCTGAAGAGAGAATACATTTTTTCTTTGAATTAGCTGAGCACTGGAAGAAAAGTTTAAAAGTCTGGCCTACTGCTTCACAAGGTCTTAGAGTAAATACTTTGATAAGCAACCAAAGCAGAAAATCTTAATATTACTCTCTCCCCTAGAATAAGTATATACATTTTTTGAAACTGGGGCCCTATATAAGAATTTAAAATCTATTTTCTTATACATCAATTCAAAGACGTCGGAGCGCAAAGGGAAAATGAAAATAAAATAAAAATACAATCCCGTCCCACTTGCAAAAGCAAACAAATACACCAGCACACACCACTCAGGGGTGCAGGCGGTACTCACCCCACAGCCCAGGCCGCTGCCCCTTTCGCAGGCGACTTTCCTCTGGCCTGGTGCAGGCAGCAGCCCTGCTCCGCAGCCGGCGCGGGGGCACAGCACGCCCCCCATCTGCAGCACGCACTCTTCCGCGCCATACTGCTGGTACCGGTTGTACTGCAAAGAGCAAAGAGCAACAGGAGCTTTTGAAAGTGATCACATGTGTACTAAGATGCACTGTTTCAGCCAAAAGGTTAATAGTCGGTGTGTGGGATTTCTTGTTTAACCAGTTTCAGTGAAAAATTCTGTGTGTGTGTGTGTGTGTGTGTGTGTGTGTGTGTGTGTGTGTGTGGAGGGGGATGATGGAGGAGGACCAAGTGTGCTTTAAGTAGAAAAAGTCTTCCAAATTCGAACTGGCAAGATGGATGCGCGAGGTGTTTATTCTTTGCGTTCTTGTTTTTAGAAAAGAGGTTTTCCAAAGTTTGGTATTTTATGATACTGCTTCCACCACCTGTATTTGAACAATCTTATTTCATATAAAACTTAAGGAACATATTTATATATTAAGTGATGGACACGTATCATTATCAATCTTATAAAGCAATTTATTTTCATGTCTCTATTTGAGATTCTCCAAGGTTTGTAATCATTTTGAAAACAGGCCCAATATTCTACCTCATGATAATTGTTGGCAACCCAGGAGGCATCAGTGAGCATGTCCGGCTGGGAGGAAGAGAGGACGAATGCTAACGAACGACCTTTCCCTTTTATCACCATCCTGATTCCTCCAGCATGATTCTCTTTACCTCTGACTTCATCTCTTTGTGCCACTGCCTTGCCCCACGTCCTTTAGTGGCTTCCCCAGCCTGCAAGACAAAACCCGAACTCCCTGGGACCATTTCTAGGCTCTTCTTCCTTGCAGCCCCAAGTGAGCGTTCTCTCTACACATTCTTGGATCATATTATCCTCTAAGCTCAGATCAAGTCAAATAGACTTGCTCAATTATTAATTAATTTATGCAGCCTTTGTCGAGAGCCTGTTCTGTGCCAGACACTACTGTGGGTGCTGAGGGTACAGCAGTGAACGAAGCAAACATCTCTGCCCTCATCTGCGACACCATGACAATAAATACTGAGTATTTCGCATGGCGGCAAGTGAGAAGGGGAAGAATAAACAGGGAAGAGAGAGATTCCAGGGAAGATGGTTCCGATTTTAAAGTGGTGATGACAGAATGCCTTACGAGAAGCGCATTTAAGAAAACATCTGAAGGAGATTAGAAGAGCAAGCCATGTGGCTCCGCGGGGAACCAGCATTCCAGACAGACACCATAAAGGTCCTGCGGTCCCTCTGTGCTTGGCTTGTCTGAGGTCCCACTGGGACCCAGGCAGAGCGAACAAGGGGCGAATAGTAGAGGCCAGTCAGAGAGCTCCTGGCCATCTGGAATGCGGGTCTCTGACAGCCGATACGAGAATTCTGGCCGTTATTCTGAAAGACGCTGGAACCCCTGGAGAGCTCTGATGTCTTTCCAGTAATTTTGGTTATTTGAAGCTTGTTCTCTAGTTAAATTCCTCAGGAAGAGTTACTGGGAAAAACATCCACTGAGTTCTTACATAGTGACAGTTTATTTAGGGTTTTTATTCTTAAATATGAGTTTGGTTGAATAGAAAATCCTGCGCTCACATTTTTTCCCCCTGAGTATTTTAAATATCTTCCTTCATATTCTTCTGTTATAAAGTTTTATGGACAAGCCTGATGACAATCTGTTTCTTTTTTCCTTTATAAGTGAATTGATCTTTTTTGCCTAAATGCCCAAAGGATTTTTTTTCTTTTCTTTAGAATCCTGGGGTTTTATTAGGTATGTCTTGGTGCTGGTCATTTTTGGATCAATTTTCACAAGCATTCTTTCTGTGTCAGGAAAGTTACATTGAATTTAACTTTTAGTATGTGCTCCATTCTCTTGCTTTGATGTTTTTCTTATGTAATTTCTAGTATATGTATTTTAGATCTTTACCTAACTTCTCAATCCATCAACTTCTCTCAAGTCCCTTTTAAAATTTCACTTATTTTTGTTGTCTACAAAACAAAATCTACGCATTTTCATGTCTATTGAGACAATATCTGATGTATTACTTACTTTTGTATAATTTCTTAATAACTTAGTTCACTTTGAAATAGTTATTTTAGTTTTCCTCTGACTTGAGGGCATTCTTTCACTGTCTGGAAAGATGTTTTTCTGCTCCTCATTCTCTTTATCCTTTTAACGCCTTTGTGTGGGATTTCACCTTGCTTCTTTCCTGTTAGGGTTTTACCTTGGCCTTTGTTCTGTTGCTCAGTTTTACATAAAATTAGCTCCGAAATGTTAGAAAGAGGTAGGATTCAGAATAACTTTTTTTAGTGACATATCTTTATTAATAAAGAGCCAAAATAATGTCTAACTCAAACAAATCGCCCCTGATTTTTGCAACCACAGAATGATTTTGAATGGCTCTAGATTTTTCTCTTCTGGTGTTTTGGGCAGTGCTCAAAACCATGGGGCTCACTTGCTGCAATCCCCCAACTGTGCTGCCCCAGTTTTAATTGGACTTTCACTTTCCTTTTTTGCTTTTCTGTTCTGAGCAGTTTCTCCTCAGTGTGGGGCTTTGTCCTGAGAGGGATCTTTGGTTCATTAAATGTGGTGAGTTCTTGGGACCTAAAGTGCTCCAGGCCCTTTAGACCTTATTACAGACCTTTTGCTCTCACCCTTTGTCTGTTTTTGTACATGTCTGCCCTAAGTTTGGCATAAGATCTTGACAATAGTTGGTACACACTACATAACCGTAGAATAAATTAATGAAATTTAACTCCATTAAGTGTAATTAATTAAACAATTCTAATAAAATTATCAATGGCAATGGGAATTAATAACAGTGATTCAGGATGGTTTTAATTTAACTATGTAAATAATTATTTTAAATATGTTGCTCTTAAGTAACTGGCTATTTTCTCATTTGACGACAGGTATCCAATCTATTAATTTAGTTAAGCAATTTTACTGTTACGATAATAGCTTTTAACTAGGAATAAGTTAACCTGTTGACAAAGTCCAATAACACCTTACAAATTCTTGCTGACTGCATTCACAGTGGTCTCAATACTGATGGAATATGTCAAACTGTGTTCCTCTTTCCATTTGTTAGCTAAGGAATTTATAGAAAATGACTTTATTGTATTTATTCTATATATGATAAACTCCAGAGCATTTAAGCATATAATTCCTTTTCTAAAGGAAGACTAATATTTTAACATATATACCTAGTAATTTCTGACGTATAAGTTCCAGTGTTCTATGGCACTGTAGCATGACTACAGTTAACAATAATATATTTATAGTTTCAAATATAGGAGGATATTCAATGTTCCCAACACAGAGAAATAATAAAAGTTTGAGGTGATGGATATGCTAATGTACCCAGATCTGATCACTATACATTATATGTATCATAATATCACTATATACTCCATAAATATGAACAATTATGTGTCAATTAAAAAATTTAAAAAGTATAAGAAAAAGAAAATTTCAGTCATAAAAAGTACATACAACACCTGAAATATACCTACTGAAAACATTACTTTTTAAATTAACATTGTGAAATTTACAATGAAAACATTTGACCTGGAATCAATAATGTGCTAGTATTTGTAGAAAACTTAATATACTTAGAAGATAATTTGGACATGTAATTACATATGTCATTAGCAAAGATCCTTATTTATCTGCCTTCAAGATATGACTCACATTTCCATAGATTCCTTTTAACCACTTACTGGCACAAAGTTGAGAGTACACTAATGGACAGTTGTAAAAAATTATCACCAAGTAGAAAAGAATATTTATATTTATATCAGTATAAAACATACGCAATAGTGGTAAAGTAATTAATAAATGGACTCCAATTGGTGAAAAGGAACAAACATTCTTCCCTTGATATTACTTGTATTACTTCCAAGGACTTTTTACTTATCAATATTGAATAGCATTTTATAAGCAGAACTAACTTGGAGGAATGTGATTAATTTGTAATGTGATCTGGGTTTACATAGAATCCATTCTCAGGTGGGCTCAAAAGCAGTAAATTATCTAAATGTCACTCGTGCATGGTTTGTCTTTGGAATGGACAGTGAGCATCTGTGTGTGTGTCTGTGTAGATATGCTATGTCAACCTGTGCTAACAGTTTTAAGCTATCATTAAATCCGGCTTGCAAATTTCTAGATATGCTTTCATAAAGTGGATAATGCATAGATAACTAAAATAATTGAGTTGATTATACAATTTTTGCAAAAATTTTTGAAAATAAATGTTAATATTAATAAAGCATAGTACTCTGTACCTAAGGAGAACAATAACAATTTTTTTTTTCCTATATTTCATCAGATTATAGCAAAAAATACATTTCATTAGTATGCCCTACCTGGGTAGAATCTTGACTCATTGCTATGCTTTATATTTTATTTATTTGGTCAGTAAATTATTGAGCTTTATATGTACACTCATGGATTCTCTTAAGAACAGGAAATATTCATTTTAAATCATGAAGTTCACAGACGTTTCAATAAACTCATATCTTAGGAATCTAAATAATGAGTCATGGGAGAGTATAATGAAATAGGTGTTGTCCTTTGTTGGTCTGTAGGTAGTCAGAAGACTTGGGTTTAGGTAGAAAATTGCTCTATAATGAAGTGAAGGTCACAAGTTCAAACCCCAAGACGGACCAGTGAACGTCCTCGTTCTTGCTGGCTGCTGACTGCCTGGTAAGTACGTTAAAGGAACATGAGTGGTCAGCTGAGGGGTCTGGCTATGGAGGAACTGTGCCTCGATATCCCTGCCACTGAAGATCATTCAAAAGGCCTGTCCTCTGCAGGAGGGGCTGGGCTGCTTCACCCTGATGTTTACTTGGTATGCTTTCATAGGAAAAGAGAGCAAGAAAGAATCTAAATTTTAAAACTGCAGGAAATGTGAAGTACAGGGATCCCAGGTAAAACTTAAGACTGGGAGAACTGGCAAATGTTCTGTCGAAGGATTCGACGTTTGCCAGCGATCCGGGAGCTGCACGGCCCCTTTCAAATCCTCAGAGCAGGGGAGGAGGTTGGTTTCATGCTGTTGTGGTGTTTTCCAGAGTGTCCTTTTGGGGGCACT